CTAGGGCCAGTGGCTACCCCTACCTTACTGTGTCCTTAAAGATGACCGTCGTGCTGTCTTCTAAAATATTTAGATTTAATTCAACTTGTCCCTTAAAAAGCAGTTTAGAGAGTAAGCCTTGTTTAAAATTATGATAATTTATGCCCCTGCCATATGACCTGTATCAGTGAGCAGTTTATCTTATGACAAAGATCCGTGCTAGTAGTTTTTTCTTGACTAATAAATCACCACCACCTCAGCTACTTCCTCTTGCCTTTGCCAGGGATAATTCAGTTTTCTAACAGAACACAAAGTGGTAGTATACACAGCAGTCACAGGTAACATCCTAACGAGTTAAAAAGAAAAAAACTCCATCAAGTGGGTGATAGGCGAGGGAGATACTGGAAGAAAGTTTCATGAATTTAAATGCAAATACGGGTGTCTATACAGTTAGAGAAGCATCACTGAAGCCGACTGGAGGCGAGGTAGCAGGAACCAGCAGCTGGAATAGGAGCTTCGTAAACACTAATAAGATATGAAAGTACAGAAAGGGCATTTTTAAAGGTGTTGTGGAGTCTGCGAGGGAACAGTGTTTGCTGTAACTACTGCACAGTGGTTAATAAATCCAAACATTTATATGACTCATTACATTACACAGAACCTAAGCTATGCTCCTGTAACCACAAATATATAATTACATACGGTAGAGACAAAATTAGAACGTTCTTTAGTCAAGTAGTGGAGGGTCCTGAAGGTGAGGAATCAGTAAAGCTGATTGTTTGCAGTAAAGATATAAGGCCAGGAGCCATGAATCGACTTGTGCGCTCAACTATAGTAGTACAAGTGGTTGGTTACACACACTCATGTGAGTGAAACAGTGTCTTAAACTAGTGATCACTGTACGTCAGGGGCGAGAGTTACGATGGAGAGGTTGATATGTACGAGAGTGCCACCAGTGTGGCTAACATGGTAAGAGGCATCAGCATTATGCAAATGTCTTGCCACACCCTCCACTTGCTATTCCCTTGTCATTGGACGACGGGTAACCTCTACTTCATCCTGTTTTACTTATTTCCTTACATTTGCTCACAGTCTGTAATATAATTCCACCTCCAGTATTTGTGTGGAAACGTTTATATTTGTATTTTGTTTTGGGTTTACAAGGCAGACGGGCAGACAGATAAGCAGGGTCAGCAGGCAGGCAAGCCATCACTAGCCATGTATTACATTAGAATGCACTCAGCTTAACACATTTCCTCCTCCCCTCCAACTGCTGCCACATTCCCTCTCTTCTTTCAACTCTACTGCCACATTACATTACTTACCTACACCATATCTGGCACACTTTCCCTCTACCTCCACCATTGCTTTAGAATTTATACTCTTCCCACAGCATCATGTTATTTCCCGTCTTCCCACAGCATCATGTTATTTCCCCTCTTCCCACAGCATCATCTTATTTCCACTCTTCCCACAGCATCATCTTATTTCCACTCTTCCCACAGCATCATCTTATTTCCACGCTTCCCTCATCATCATCTCATTTCCTCCAGTCCCATAGAATCTCCTTTGCATTTCCTGTCATCCGCAGCATCATCCTGCCTCCCTTCCCGTCTTCTCCTTCGCCTGCACAATCTTCAATAATCAACACCTTAACTCGTATCTCAGTACCCAGACTTGAAAAGATTTATGAATTTAAAACTCGCTTTTATAGCCTGATGGCAATTAACATCTATCAAAACCAGCTGTAGGATAATCTATCTCCGTCAAAACCAGCTGTAGGACAATCTATCTCCGGCAAGACCAGATTTATGACAATCTGGGACGTTTCTGTGAGCAGTTTCGAGGTTTCTTCTACCCTGGCTTCCCATCCAGACTTCCTTGTCAACCCGGCTGTTTTTGCTAGCGCCTGCACGCCCACGTAGCTATCACAACCCGGCTTATCTGGAATTTGCGGAATATAGTGATCAGCCTTTTATCTTGAAAATTTCAACCCTCATTCCGGCAATATTTCTAATTTTGTCTGGTAACTGGCCAGTCTTGGACCATGGATATAGAAAGCGTTCTCTGACTGCACTTATGGTACTCTTGCTTTCCGCTGAGTGTATTCTACACTTTTTCCCTGGTGTGGCGAGGCTACCATTGAACAACCTGATCGATCAGGCCGGCCTACCGCGAGGCCTAGTCCAGGAACCGGGCTGTTGGGGGGGGGGCGGTGATCCCCCAAAATCGACGCAAGAGATACGCAAAGAACACTTTGCGTTTCATTCTAGTAGGTTATGACAGTGTGCAGATTGGGGACCAAATTGTCAAGTATTTGCCAGGCATGTATTGTCAGATATCTATTCTCCATTCCAGAGAGAACACTCCAGGTTCGTTAATGTGTTTCCAATAGTTTAGATGTTTTATTGGTTCTATGTTGACAGTAAACGACTTCTGTACATTCTCTGGGTCTGCTCTCTCTCTCTCTCTCTCTCTTCTACACTGAAAGATGCCGTGATCACAATATCTGGGTCGTGAGAGCACCATTAATTTGAAAACTACCATTACTGCCGTTGCTTTTATTGATGCTCTCAATATCCACTCTGTTATTTCCCTGGTCTTTACTGCATTTTATTTATTGTGTTGTCTAAAATCTAAATGACAGGTCCTAGTGCTGAATCTTTTCTTTGTTCCCTACGTTCTACGGGACGGTCTGCTTGCCTTCTGTACACTGCGCTCATGTTGATTTCTTCATTCTTTGTATACATAAACACTTAAAATTAATCACCACCGAACATTATTATTTTCATTTGCTCATTCGATATGCCTGTATTTTTTGTGGCTTCTACTGAGGCAACTTTCATATTTACTTTAGCATCGTCCACAAACAATGATACATAACTGTGGCTTGTGTTTACATTTGTATAAAGTTTAGTATGAAGAGAGAAACGGTAGAGGTGCTAGGCCCGTGGCTTAAAGTAATAAACTTTTTTCTCCAAAACCAGATTGATGGCAACCTATTCCTATTAAAACTAACTTTATGGCAACCAGCTATATAAAAAACAGTAATATAAAAATATGGCGAGGAAAGCACGGCAGATACACACTTTTAAAAGGACACAAAAGTGATATGAATGGTACCATTATCGGTGAGAATTCTCTTCTGGAAGCTCTTATAAACCAACTTAATCATTCTCCTGCATTTGATAAATTTATCTTAACGTGTTCTCTTAACTATATACCAACAGCTCTGTTAACTGTATACACACAGTGAGCTGGCCAATAAACTTTATTATCTATCTTTTGCATGTTTTCAAAATCAAAGCTTGCTCAATTCCACCTTCCCCAATTACCTAACCAGAAATACGGACAAGAATTGGAGATTTTTAAACAAATAACCTGCACACACAGATTCTTACAACGACGTTTTGGTCCGAGTTGGACTATTTAGATTCAGTGTGACTTTTGTAAATGGTCCAAGTCAGACCGAAACGTCGTCATAAGCTTCTCTCTCCTATGTGCGGGTTATTTGTGTATTGTTCCAGTCACGGTATTGTGCCTTTTTGTTCTTTATTGAATATTTTACTTCACTAGACGCCTCCCAGTACTCTCTACATTATAACATCTACTCTCATTTAACGTAAAAACATATCGATGAGACAGACATTCTATCAAGTTGAATCTAGTATTGTGAAATGTGTGTCCAGCCGGTGATTCTTAAAATGAAATTTGTTGTTGTAGTTACCCGAGTGGGCAGCGTTACAGTGATTTAGTAGCGTACACCAGAACCACACAACACAGTCAATGGTAAGCATCAAAAGGGATCAAAGTGAGCGCCATGAATGAGCACTGAGCTCACCTGAGCTTGCACAGTAGTGTATTGAAAAAATATTTTGACAGCATTACGTTGTGCCCTTTCTGGTCCCTAACACACTCCAACCTTACCCCCTCACTCAACCACATTTTTATATGCCACTCTCACCCCTCGTTAACGCTATTTCAACAAGTCACAACCCACATCTCTATTGCTACGCTAAAAGTCTGTAAAATATTGTATCATTTTTTATGATATAAACAGGGAAGACATAAGTCTATCATGGATCATACAGCACTTTAGGGAATAAGGGGTAATCAACTTTGACTGAAGGTAGTAGAGAGCGGCTCCTGCTTTCCCCTCGCAGGCTATCCAGATGCAGCTTGCAGCTCACCCTTTGGCGAGGCTTGACAACTATCACAGTGGCTCAACTATTCGGTTCACAACCAAAAATATCCCGGGTTCGCTCCCGGGCAGGACGACATGGATTTGCAAGTCTCCATACACCTGCTGCCACTGTTCACCTAACACAGAAGTAGGTGCCTGGGTCTAGTGGTAGCTCGTTGGAAGACAGCAGACAACCAGTGAGGTTCTATTCTCCTGTCATACGGGTGTAAAACATAAGCCAGTTAAACGTTTTGCAGCTTTTCTTGTTTCATGAACATTTAAGATGATTGGTTACTCTTACTAGCTTTTACTTACATTCGTTATACCCTTTCAATTTCCTGTTTTTACATAATTCTTATATAATATTTTATTTCCAACTGACCAGACGTGGTCTGAGATCGTTGTGTGTATACCATAGTTAGAACCGAGCTTTGAGCTGAAGTGAGGCAGGATAACAGCTGTCAGCCTGTCAAATGAACTGAGGCAGGATAACAGCTGTCAGCCTGTTAAATGAACTGAGGCAGGATAACAGCTGTCAGCCTGTCAAATGAACTGAGGCAGGATAACAGCTGTCAGCCTGTCAAATGAACTGAGGCAGGATAACAGCTATCAGCCTGTCAATGAACTGAGGCAGGATAACAGCTGTCAGCCTGTCAAATGAACTGAGGCAGGATAACAGCTGTCAGCCTGTCAAATGAACTGAGGCAGGATAACAGCTGTCAGCCTGTCAAATAAACTGAGGCAGGATAACAGCTGTCAGCCTGTCAAATGAACTGAGGCAGGATAACAGCTGTCAGCCTGTCAAATAAAGAGTATACACAAGAAGTGGAGGACTCACCCGAGGCGAAGCCAGCCTTAGCTTCCGGCTCCTCCTCTCCTTCACTGGGTGGGTTGCTGTCGGCACCCTCCGTGGCACTGTGATAAAGAGAATAGCCTCGGTTAGCTTGGAATCAGTAAGAAATGTTAAAGAAAAAGAGTACAATTTTTTTAAGAGGAACACGGCGTAAGATCAAAGATTCGACCACTGCGAATTCTGTTAACGATATCAGAGAAAAAAAGAATTTTAGTAATGTAATTTGTAAACAATACAAAATATATGCATATAGCAGCAAAATTATGGTAGGAGTTACAGGGGTGGTAGTAGTGGTAGAACCACTCAGCAACCAACAACCTGGAGATAAAGATTATTTTCCACCTCTAGCCTACCCCTCCCGTCCACCTCATTGTTATGCCAGCGACCAGTGGCTTCACCCAGGCGGATATCGTAGACCGTGACAGTAATCTGTATACCCTGAGAAAAATCTTCAAAAAACTGGGAGAAGGTTTGTGGTCGGGAGAGAATTCCGAGGACCGTGGGAGAAAGATTAGGACCGTGGGAAAAATCTCGAGACGGTAGGGGAGAAACCTCGAGATGATGGGACAAGAAACCTCGAGACGATGGGAAGAAACCTCGAGACGGTGGGGGAAGAAACCTCGAGACGGTGGGGGGAGAAACCTCGAGACGGTGGGGGGAGAAACCTCAAATGGTGGGGAGAAACCTCGAGACAATCTAAAGACCTTCACACTGAGAGAAAAAGACAATACTGAAAAATAATCATTAGATGGGTATTTGTTGAAGTGTAAGACAAACACCTTGAAACATTGTAGATTAAATCCCCAAACATGGGAAAATTCTTCAGATGGAAAAATTCCAAAGGCTGAAAACAAATCTTTAAACTTAAGGCAAAAAACTTACGAGCTTTGGAAAAGTTTAAAGCCGTATCAAAAGTTCGTAAAAAATACTTTAAAACGATGGGAATAACCTAACAGCAGTGGACGCGAAAATATTGCAACCTTAAATAAAAAATTGAAATCGTGGTATATATTCATGGAGATACCGAAGATAATCCTTGACAGCGTGGGAGAGAACTCTGGAACACTGGTGAGGAGGCTGGAGCGAGAAGCAAGGAGCAGGAGAAATAACCATGAAGGGTGGGAACCATGGAGCGTTGGAAAGAACCAGGATGATTGGGAGAGAATCATACAGCGTGGGAGAACAATGGAGCATGGGAGAGTACCCTGGAGCGTGGGAGAGAACAGTTGAGCATGGGAAAGAACACCAGACCTTGAAAAAGACTGAAGCATTGAAGAGAACACTGGAACATGGGAGAGAACAGTGGAACATGGGAGAGAACAGTGGAACATGGGAGAGAACAGTGGAGCGTAGTAGAGAACACTGGAGCGTGAGATACAGCCAGCGTGGCTAGGAATGTTTCTGGAAGATTGTGAAAATCTAGTTAACGTGGAAAAATTCTTGCAATACTTGGAAACATTTTAGGAAGCCTCTGGGGAAGGCGTTTCCAGCGTCAGAAAATTCCAACACGAGAAGTAAAACTCGGTAAACAAAGGAAGAAAACTTTACACGAAATTGAAATTTATTTGGTAACCAAACCGTCTTACCCAACACTGGTCAGGGAATGTATGTTGTAGAACTCTTTTATAACTGTAGAAGTTCTCAAGAGGAAACTGGATCACTACAAGTGACGGCTGAGCCAGGTTGTGAAGGCTATGTGGGTCGCTAGCAGCAACAGCCTGGGTTGATCAGGCAATCAACAAGGCCAAGCTAGAACCCTCAGAACCTGTCGAAGGTATGTCACAAATATAAGACGCTTTCATGGCACAAATAAACCTTTTTAATACTGCAAAATTCATGGTCATCCGGGAAAGGGTTCCTTAACAGATGGTGTGTGGACTGGTGAGGGTTGACGGAGGGAGCAAAAACCGAGTTTCTCCCAGATACTTTGAAAACTGATTTCGTAAAGGAATTCTGTTTGATGTCTAATTACAACATTACAGTATTGTTTCATTCCAAACAAGTGTAGGGTGGTGCGGGTTGCTACCATATATGGTCAAGCGACACCCCCCACCCGGGGGGGGTGGGCAACGCCGGGTCACCACCTGGAAAAGACCCGGGCCGGGACATGACCGGCGAACTTACCACAGTACAATACATGGTCAGGTAATGTACAATCGTCACCCTCGCCATATTATGAGGTCTACAGTAGTTTCCTGTCGATGTTAAACATACTCTGCCAGCATGCACATTTACCTATATTTACATAGGGTTGCAGGCCATTTTAAAGCAAAAAAATGTAGTCTTTTGTGTTTATTGTATTTTTTTCATTTCATACTAGTTATGATATTTTTTCGTACGTCTGACAGCATAAGGAAAGCACATGTATTTAATATTCAACATAAAGAATTCCATATTGGTAAGTGAGCGGTAGCTGATCCACATCTTTCAATAAAACCATGTTTCAAGTATGCTGCGAGACTGTCAATAAAGATGTTGAAAGATAATTGTTCAACTCGGCTTTAAATTATTGCCTTTCATAATACCCTAACTTTTATTTATTGAAACATGTTGGAAAATATCATACCAACAAAACTTGAGAGAATTATTTTGTGCATGAGTATTTTTCATCACATTTTTAAAGGGGTCCATGATACACCCCCCCCCCCCCAAAAAAAAAAAAATTAAGTCTCAGGCCTGGTCACGGACCCGAGGCCTGGTTACGGATCGGGCCAAGGGGGAGTCAACCCCCGACACCCTCTCCAGGTATACTCCAGGCAGGGTCTCCAGCATCCCTAAACTGCAGCCGCCGCCTCATCAACAATGCACAACAAGCAGCGCAGTGTAGGACATCCGCTCTGGGAATTACAAGCATCACACTAAAACCTGGAGAAAGAAAGTCGAAGGAGCCCCCCCCACCCCAACCCCCCAAAAAAGCTGATTGAGCAAAGCGGATCAATGAGCAGAAAAACACTGTGCCAGTTTTTTTGCACCCTGGCGAGCGAGGATCAAACGAAAATGTTAAGAAACTGCACATCACTTTACTATCATTATTATAATTATTTATGGGGAAGCGGCAAACCCGTGTAGGCAATACAGCACCTGGCAAATAGGAAGTAATCTAATTCTTTGAACCAAGATCCCTTCACCCCCTGCTGCGTTCACGTTGGATTATGCTATAAGGTAGTTTATGTGGAGCCTACGCTCGTCCTGGCAACACTGCAACATGAGCCTGGCAACAAGAACCATCTTATAGCATAATCCAACATGATGAACCACATCATGGTATAATCCAACATGATGAACCACATCATGGTATAATCCAACATGATGAACCACATCATGGTATAATCCAACATGATGAACCACATCATGGTATAATCCAACATGATGAACCACATCATGGTATAATCCAACATGATGAACCACATCATGGTATAATCCAACATGATGAACCACATCATGGTATAATCCAACATGATGAACCACATCATGGTATAATCCAACATGATGAACCACATCATGGTATAATCCAACATGATGAACCACATCATGGTATAATCCAACATGATGAACCACATCATGGTATAATCCAACATGATGAACCACATCATGGTATAATCCAACATGATGAACCACATCATGGTATAATCCAACATGATGAACCACATCATGGTATAATCCAACATGATGAACCACATCATGGTATAATCCAACATGATGAACCACATCATGGTATAATCCAACATGATGAACCACATCATGGTATAATCCAACATGATGAACCACATCATGGTATAATCCAACATGATGAACCACATCATGGTATAATCCAACATGATGAACCACATCATGGTATAATCCAACATGAACCACATCAAGGTATAATCCAACATAAACCACATCAAGGTATAATCCAACATAAACCACATCATGGTATAATCCAACATAAACCACATCATGGTATAATCCAACATAAACCACATCATAGTATAATCCACTTGAAATAATCCCTATCTTCAACATATAATCAGGGTATCTAACTATGAATGAGTCTTAAAACTATAAGTCTTACTGTAAAGTTTTCTTTAGTCTTACACTTACTTCAAGAGTGGCACACACTCATTTCCGGATTGACTCACTGACTGACTAGTCCACAAACTAAACTGTAACTAATACAAGGAAAAATTCCGTATCTTTCTCTTACTAACACTGGGAGCGTCAAATCAATTTTCTAAAAATAAAGAAAATTGTCATTTTACCAAACTTAAAAACATTTTAATAGTCTGCATAACCTTCTTTGTCAACAACCACTAGGGGACCATTTTGCATCGCTAAGTAACACAGCATCAATAAGACACAAACAAAAAACTCAAATTTTTTTCTAACATCAAAAGACCTTCAACCAAAGAATAACAAAAACAAAGAGTTAAATTCAGTGTTTAGAGAGACATTCAAACCTACTGTAAAAACGAGGTACGAAAACCAGGGGTAAAATTTTGTGACTAAATAAACAGAACTGGTGGGTGGGGCTGTACGTCAAGAGACGCCTCTACAATGAGCTCCTCAACACCACAAAGAAGGTACACTTTTAAGGGCTCGGAGTGACCATTTAAAATTAAAACTCAGCTCTTATTTTTGTATACAAACCAACAGCGGAATCTCACAGCAATTTAAAAATATAGTAAATAATTTTACGCAGCCCAAATACCTTGTAAACCTCGCCCCAGACACCATTTTACTGTTTGATATCAATTTAAGACAAAGAGAAAGAATGTAGCAAACACTTTGACAGAAAATTCTAAAAGGTTGCTCAGATAAACAGTTACACATAAACGAATTCTTATGACTACGAAACTTTCATCTAAAACTAGCAAGTGATAAAATCATCTAGGCTAGTACAAACCTATGATTTTAAATTTACAAACAACGATGATCTGGTATGGAATATAACAGCTCCGAACACGTCAAACCCGGCCACACACTAATTGAAGTTCAGACCTGCAGTCACACTTGACTCGAGTAGCCTAAAGCAATTCAATTTCGGCAGTAACCATGTTAGCTGGGAATAAATCATGACTGT